AGGAATTTTTTTTTTTCCATTTTAACCTATTTTTTTTTATAATTCTTTTTAAGTCTCAAAAACTTTTTTCTTTTAATATGATGTACTAATATTTATTGCACCAAAGATTTTCTCGACAGACAGCAACATATAAGCTCATATAACTTGAAATGACAAGATTGCCTTCCCGTGTGATTGATATTTTTTTTTTTCAAAACAAATATTATATTTAAATTGTTCGAACCGTTTGTGGGCAATGTAAGAGATTTTGATTTTGTGTGTAACAATTGAATTTCAAATTACATATATCCATATATATGATTTTGAGATTTATTTTTTTACAAATAATCCTTTTTGGTGGGTCATTCTAATGTTTACAAAAACTACACATTGATTATTTATTATATTTGTCTCGTTGAGCAATTTCAAAAGAACGAAGGATGATTCTAGGAGGTGTTTGGTATGAGTATTTTATGTGGAATGATTGGAAGGTGGGTGGAGAATATTTTTTAGCCATATTTGGTATAAAGAAACTTAAAAAAAGTCAAGAAAAAAAAGTTATCAGTGATTCAAGTTTTGTACTAAATACAACTAACAAATTATACCCCACAACACATGGTATTTTTTTTATCCATGAAATCAGAATATGGTTTTAATGATTTGAGACCAAAATGCCCTCTTGTAATACATATGCAAATGTGTAAGTAGACATAGCACAGAAGCACGCCATGGAGAGAAAGCTTCGTCGTCTTCGTCTGCACATCTCTGCGTCTCTGATTTGTGACTTGGTTTTGTCCGAAAAACCCTCTTGTAATACATATGCAAATGTGTAAGTAGACATAGTAGAGAAGCACGCCATGGAGAGAAAGCTTCGACGTCTTCGTTTGCACATCTCCGCGTCTCTGATTTGTGACTTGGTTTTGTCCGAAAAATGTTTATTCGTAAACTGGTAGATGTGCCCTTTGACATTTATCAGGAATCCCACTACTGTGGGAGCATCTTGGAGCTTCCGATTTGTGAAAAAGAGACTTTGGTACTTTTTTTGAGGTACATAATCTTTGATTTGTTCTATTGTTACTTTGTCTCTCAAGTTTGTTCTGTTTGGAATGATGTTAAAATAAAGGATAAATTGGTATTTTATGTTAACATTCCCTTCAATATTTTACAATTAACCAAACAACCCATCAATAAAATTAACCAAATTTACTCAGTAAAATTTTGGTCTACCAAACAACTTTTCATTACTTTCTCGGGCTAAATAAATTTCCATCATATTCTCAGATTTTTTTTTCCCGAATAAAAGAAATATCTCTTGTACCAAAAGCCCCCCTAAACTTTATTATGTTTGATTAAGTTTGTTAAAAAATAAGGTATATCACCATAAAAAATGTACCTTATTTGATTGTGTAAATAATATAAATATAAGATAAAAAGTAAGTTAAGGTGCAATTCTCAAAGCCATTGGGTTTGGTCTGGTGGTCAGCGATTTTGGTAGGTTATGTGTTTAATTTTCACTTGTAAAAGACAACTCAAATCTCTATATTTTTGTTACAAAATGCTAGTATCCAGTGTTTTAAAACTCGGCCGAAGTATTGAGTCACTTGTTCAGTGGTTCAATTAGTGAATCACTGATTCAATCGCATAAATTAAATTTATAAAATAATATATAATAAATATTAAATTATGAATATTATTTGCAACAAATAAATATTATAAAATCGATTTGACTAAAAAATGGTTATCGGTTGAATCCGATTTTGGTCCATTTATTTAGTACGGGGTTTGATTTTCTCATGTTAAATGAGAATTCAATTCTCATGTTGTAGAAATAAAAAGTATGCGGGACTCATGTGTTGGAAAAAATTATATGTAAGACCCATGTCAGCACAGAAATCGAAGGGTGTGTAGAAAAATTTGAATTCTCATGTTAAATGAGAATTATAAAACCCATTTAATACCGATTTGAGTACATAACAGATCTTATGACCACCTCGAACTGGTTATCAAAACCTGGGTTGACCCCAATCCAAATTTTAAAACACTGCAAACAACCCTACTGATTCATAATCCCAACTCCTTTACTTGCATAGCAAATAATAAGACAAATGTTATTACAATAAAAATTTCTCCATTCTATCTATAAATGTCAGTAAAATTATAATCATGTGTATTAGTCATGAAACAGTTAAAAACACGAAAAATTATCTCCATTATGAAAATTTATTCTGATTTTATATTTTTTGTAATAAATAAATAAATGATGATGTACCGAAAAGGAAAAGGACACATTATTTGATTCCTCTCGTTCAATCAATCAGAACGGCACAATAGTGGCCAGTTTTCAATTTGATTTAATTAAAGGGATAGGATATTGTGACACACAAATAATGTTACGCATAATGTTACGACCACATCTTAACCGTTGATTTCCGACAATCAACGGTTATCATTTTTCAAATCAAACTCATTAATTAATTATTAATTCGTAATAAATGATAATCATTGATTGGCGAAAATCAACGGTTAAGATGTGGTCGTAACATTGTGCGTAACATTATTTGTATGTCACAATATCCTATTCCTTAATTAAAAAGTTTGATATGATCAACAACAAATCAGATCCATTTTGTGCATAATTGATATAAGTTTCCATTTCAATTAAAATGTCTGACCAAATTTTTACAATTTTAATTCCTTTCAATCAATAGCAAATAAAGAGATTATAGGACATAATTTGGGAGATTTGGCAGAGAAAGGACAGGGGTCAAACCCCATTATATACCCAAGACACACATAGAGAGAGACACAAGGTCAGGCACTGCAAAAAGGAGTGAGCATGCACAAGGAAGAAGAGAGAGCAAGACAGAGATAGAGGTACGTTTGAATATGGATCCTCTTCATTTTTTTCTTTTCTTTTCTTTGTTACTCTTCATTTTAAGGTCACCTTTACCAATACGATGTGATTTAAGAACACATTAAAACCCTTTTTTAGTTACGGTTGAATCTTTTATTTTTTATTGTGGTTGAATCTTTTGTATTTTATAAAAAACAATAAAAAGTGATAAGATGCCAAAAAAAATGTGTCTTTTGTCTCTCTTTTTTATTCATTAAAATCATTCAGATTTTGATTTTGATTTTATTTTGCACACATTTCAGTTAATTTTTTTAGTTTAGCTTGTAGTTTTTTTTAATCCCGTTACTATTCTTCTGGCTTGTTTGTGAATACTTTAATCTTAATTTTCTTGTAAATATTAAAATATATTCTTTTGTAAAATGTTTATTAATTTAATTTTTGTTAAGAGGACTAATTTTTTTTTTTGCTTCTTGCAGTAGATGTTTTGTGTTTGTTTTAAATTTAATTTAATACTGTTAAATTCTTAGTTGAAGTTTTTATTTCATAGAATTTTCTTTGTTATTCTATAATTTCTATTGACTGTAGATATTGGAATTTTTTTTATTTTATTTTTCAAAATATTGGAATTTGGTTCGATTTGTGTTTTTTTTTATAACTTTTATCATTGATTAATTTAGGAGTAAAGTAAACACTGTAACTCGACCACTTTTTTGTTTTTTAATGTACCTCAACAAACATCGAACATAACCTTCTTTTGATAGGGCAAACATGACCTTATATATTAACTATTTAATGTGGACAAAATATTTATCATTTTTGTGTTATTTTAAGTTAAACAATCGTATTTTGGTCAGGGGTGTCAAAACGGGTTGACACGACACGAATATATCAACACTAATACGTTTATTCGTGTCAAAATCTTCAACACTAACACGACACTAATTTTTTGCGGGTTGACACGACACGACACGAATAACACGCAAAATAGGGGTCAAAACGGTAATTGACAAAAAAAATTAAAAAAATGGTTCAAAATTAAATAATAATAATAAAAAATAAAATAAAATAATTAAAAATATATATGAGTCGACACAAACACGAATACCTCAACACGAACACGACACGAATTTTTTACGTGTCATTTTTTGTAACACGAACACGACACGAATTTTTTTACGGGTCAACCCGAACACGAATTTTCGTGTCGTGTCGCAGGTCGACCCACGTGTCATAACCTATATTGACACCCCTAATTTTGGTATATATTTATTGGATTTTTATATTCTCTTTCATCCACATAATTTTCTTTGTTTCCTTCTTTTTAATTGTGTGGAATAAAGAAAATGTAAAAAAATAATAAAAGTTATATTCTTTTAAATTAAAAAATTCACTACTTCAACAATGTCATTCTTGATTTATTTTTATTTTTATTTTTTGTTAAACTAATAGATCTCTTCTAATGCAAATATCCAGATCATTCATATCCTGCCAAATTTACGGCTAAATTCTAGACTGTTTATTTCCCTCGGAATTTAACCGTCAAACTAAAACAGTTAATACCCACCATGTCAATGTTTAACTGGAAAAACACGTTTTTAAAAACAAAGTGCTGTTTCGTACCTATCTATGAATGAAGGATCTCTCTCCTATAGGGACCAACTTTTAGGTGCCTCCTACGTGGCATACTCTTCCTTTCCAACACCCTTTCTTTCTTTTCATCTTCACCTTCACCTTCTTGTTACGGATTTTTAGATTCTGCAGTGACCATTTCTCTCTTGTTTTCAAAATTGTTCATATTTCATTAGCTCTGTTTCTTGTTGCCAATTTCATAGACCCTTTTTTTATTGCCTATTGTTCTCCCATTGGCACCCATTTTCTCTCTTGCTAAATTCTCTTCCCTTTTCCTTTTGAGTTTTCTTCTTGGTGATCGAGAAACTATTTTTAGCACCTTTCCAAGTTCTTTCTTCTTTCTCGGACAAAGCTTCTGCTCTACCCATTTTTTCCTTGGATACTCATTCTTCTCCCATTGGTAGAGCTCCAATTCTTTTTTGTTTAAGGTCTCTCAAGAATACTTGTTTTTTTTGTATAACTGATCATTCTTATTTGCAGGCCATTCTTGAATTTCATCTCTGTCAGCTTCGTATATGCAGATTCTGGGAGTGTGAAAATGTTGGACTGGTTATTGAAGCCAAAATTCTATACAAAATGGTAAAACAACGGTTCTTCCTGTTTCCCTGCATTTTGTTTCTTGTTTTCCTTATCTTTTTCGGAACATGTTTTATTTTTTATTTTATTTTTGTATTTAAATTTGAAAACAGCAACTCGTGCGTGAAGTTAATAAAGTTGAGGCTAGAGTTCTTACTGAATAAGAGGAACGCAGTGCTTAAATTTCTTAAGAAAGATATCGCCGACCTTCTTAGCAGTGGCCTTGATTACAAGGCATATGAAAGGGTAATTTTGATCTCAATGACGTTTTACTCTGGTTATTCTCATTTACTTGATGATTAATTTTTCTTGTTACTAGCCTTTTTTAGTCACCTCTGTTTTTGGCGCATTATATTTTATGTAAATTTCTCTCAAAAAGATTACAAGTGGTCCACAGCATTGATCCAATTTTATGCATACGGCACTTTGTTATATATTGTTATAAGTAATCTACATAATTTCTACAGAGTATATATATTAGGCTTATTATAATTAACTTGGATATTAAACTCCTGCACTTGAAGCAGGCTGGAGCGCTTCTGATCGAGCAAAATAAATTGTCTTGCTACGAACTTGTTGCAAACTTTGTTGGATGCATTTTCGATCATCTTGAAGACTTTTATAAGCAGAGGTATGATTTTCTACAAAAAAAAAAAATCACTCTCCGTTAAACCCGATTAACAAATGTGGGGTGGAAGTAATCTTTGTACGCAGCCTTACTCCAGTAAAAGATTCTTTTGTTTTCCGTTTTCACTATTGTGTTCCTTTTGTTCTGATTGAATGGAACTGCAGTTCTTTTTTCTATAGCTGAGTTGCTCATTTGATTATGTCTCACACAATAAATTATTTATGCATTGAATCACCGAATATTGCATTTTTTTTACCTATATGGAATGTCCGCCTCTGATATAAATTCAATTAATCCGTTCACAAGTTCAAAATCCTTTTGTATAAAGAATTTGTGTTATCGAGTCATATATGGCAATGCAAATGCTCGCTTTGTCGTATATAGTAAAGATCATGAGTATCAACCACATAGAAGTATCTATGTTATTGTTTAAGTATTAGAGTTTTTGTCACTATTTTTTATTCTTTTCTGCACAGAGCCTTAACAGATGTTTATCATGACAATATCTTTCTCACTAGGGATTGCCCTGATGATTGTAAGGAAGCTATACCATCGTTGATGTATGCTGCTGCTAGGTTTTCAGATTTGCCGGAATTGCGTGAGCTCAGAACTTTGTTTAGCAAGAAATTTGGGAATTCTCTTGAATCTTGTATAAGTAAAGAGGTGATCCATGAGACCACTCTTACCTCTCTTATTTATTCAGAGCTATTGTTAATTACTAATATAAATCATTTCATTGACGATATCTTTGTTTCCACCACTTACTTGAATAATTGTTTTTTCCTTAGTTTGTTGAGAAGTTGAGGTTTGTTGAGAAATTGAGGTCAGATCCTCCTTCGAAAGAATTGAGCATCCAGTTATTGCATGATTTAGCACAAGAATTCTCTATAGAATGGCATAGCAAAACTTTGGAGCAAAGATTTTTTTCACAGCTTCTTCCAGTAAGTTTTACTTATCATCCACTTGTTTGCTATCTAAACAATCGAGCACATATGTTTCAGCAAAAATATGAATTAGAATTGGATAACTAGAAGTGAATTGATATATTTTACTCTTAGGTATTAGCTCCTTTTACTCAATTAAAATTAAGAGAGCTAAACAATTATACATCAATCTGAGAAGTATCCCTCTTTTAAGGTTCACATTTTATAGTCAACAGCTTAACCTTGGAATTAAGGATGATATAGGGGCATATTGCCTTTTAGAGCTATGTCTACAACTTAAAGCGCCTCCTACCGCTGGTGACTTATTGCAATGAATCCTACTTGTTGCAGGAGCCTAAACATGATCCACTAAATGATTATGATGATGCAAAGGGGCACAAGAACAACAATTTTGCCATCCCAAGAATAGAAGACCTGGTTACTAGGGGCGAAGAGAGAGATAAAAGAGACCACCCTACATCTAAAGGATATGAAAGATACATCCTATCTAAAGAAAGGTCATGGAGGCTGCAAAGCAGCAGTGGTGATGAAACAACCACTGAATATTCAACCCAGGGTGGCTCAAAGGCTCGTTCAAGTTCATTAGAAAGTGTATCTGAGGATGAATTAGAAATCAAGGAGTCATTTTCCATTAAGCTTGTTCCACCTTCTTATGTCCAAGAAAAATTTAATAAAGGTGAAAACAATTTCAAGAAAACAACAGAATCTGAAGCTCTAACTGAGGAGGAGTCAAATCATGATCTTCGTGAACCAGTTGTTCAAAGAAATCAAATACCAAGATCAGTCAGGCAGAGACATCTCAAACCACCACCCGGCAATGATAATGTTTCAGATTCTAAAATTGGTATCACTATTGCAAAGCTAGATTCCAGTGGAATGAAGTCAGAGAAAGCAAAGGAAGAAGGTGATTCAAGGGATAGTGAAGAAAGGATGATCGATGATGAGCTTTTAATGCATTGCGGTAAGAAACAACATGACGTCGTTTTGGGCAAAAATCATGGTATTTTATCAGGCATAGGAAAAGCAAATACAAGTGCTGACCCTTCTCAACAAGGACATCATAATAGGCAAAAGAGAAGGCATGCAAAATCAGATTTTGGAGCGACATCTCTTCCCGCTGAAGAAACAGTTTCCAAGCAAGCATTAAAAGGAAAATCAGATTTTGGAGCGACATCTCTTCCCCCTGAAGAAACAAAAGGGCTTGCAAAATCAGATTTTGGAGCGACATCTCTTCCCCCTGAAGAAACAGTTTCCAAGCAAGCATTAAAAGGGCATGCAAAATCAGATTTTGGAGCGACATCTCTTCCCCCTGAAGAGACAGTTTCCAAGCAAACATCAAAAGGGCATGCACGTGCAATTTCATTGGAACCGCAAATGTTAAGGGACCCTGCTCATGTGCATCCTAGGCTACCAGATTATGATGAATTGCATGCTCGCTTTACAGCTCAGAGGAAGATAGCCCCACCACCTTAACAAACATGAGTTTCTTTTTTTTCTTTTTATTCTTTTGTTGTTGGTTATTCTTTTATTTTTTAATTTTTTTGGTCAACGGTTATTCTTTTATTTAAACACCCCATCGAGTTGGACTTTTATTTGAATTTTGGGCGTTTGATAGAGAGAAAAAAAAATTTATCCGGAAATCTCAATTTTCAAAAATATGATTTTTACATTCAATTTACGATAATATTCGAAAATTAAAAATTAAAAAAAATTCAGTTTCTCGAAATTCTGAAGAATACCGCGTACCAAATACCAATGCATGGAATTTTGAGTATTTTTTATAAGGGGTAAGATATTGCTACAATCAATTAGGGTACTATCAATATTAATCAATTTTACCATTGATTGATTATGTTGATCCAACGGTTATAACGCTAAAATTGATTGGTAGTAACTCTAATTGATTGTTACAATATCTACCTTTATTATAATGTAGCATTTCTAGATTTGATTTCTTGTTCATAAAAAGAAATTTCAAAATATTTGAATGTTTAAAGGGTTCGCTTTTTCTGCAGATAAGTTATATGTAGTAAGTCCAGTATGACGTCGTTTTGGGCAAAAATTATGGTATTTTTATAATTTTAATTTATTTCAGGATTATTATAGTCTTATAATTATAACTTTTTAATATTTCAATCTCAGAACGACGTTGTTTTGGAAGTAAATACAGTTATCTGCAGTAACTACAGAAATATTTTGGTGAGGGAATTGATGATGCATACTCAATCATCACAAAGTTATAAATGATGGATTACACCAACAACTATTAATTACAAAACTTTTTAAGGAAATAATTAATATTTTTTAAAGCCGATTAAATTAAATTGGCTGGGCTTGTACGACAAAATATTCGAAATATTGAACGTGGCCCAGAAAGCCATTCCATCTACTGGAAAGGCAGATAAATATAAATTCGTTCAGATAAAATTGCCGTTTTATTTCGGAGAAAGAATATTTTTACTACCAAAATTTTCTACTACTAATTTACTACTTATCTAATCAATATTGAATGGAAAGAGAGAATGCTAAAAGGTTTTTGAAAAAAGAGAAAATATTGATCCAACTGTGATTAGATAAGTAGTGAGTTGGTAGTAGAAGAATTCAGTAGTAAGAATATCCCTTCTCTTTGTTTTATTAGTGTCGCCAGTAGGTAAACACGACATCGCTGAATCACGAAGTAAGGAAAAAACATTTTCATTTTCATTTTTTTTTTTGTGTTCATGGGGAGCAGAATCGAGTCTTCAGCTCCGCCACAACCTCCGTCGTCGGAAAAAGAACACGGCGGCGATGAGCAAGTGATGAGCGAGGTCCATCTGGGATGCCCACCTGGTTTCTCTGGGCCCCATGTTTCCCGCTTCACCATTTGCATTCCACTTCCACACGGTAAAAGTTTGAAAGAAACTTAGGATTTCAAAATTAACTTATGATTAGTGATTTATTTTAATATTTTAGTTTCTTTTATATATATAATGTAATTCATGGTTCGGAAGATGAAGCATTAAAAAGTCAGGTTCTGGAATTCGACGACGATGGTGACCTTCTTCTTCCTCGACGAACCAGTAAGTTTTCAAATACGCCAATTAGTTTCCTTGAAATTTTCTTTAGGTAATAACATTGATGCTTAAGTAAAACTTTTTATTGTCAAAGCAAATGCACAAGCATCATGTGATAGCTGTAGTGTGAGAATCCAGCATAATATCACATCGTCAATTCCAAATGTTGGTCTGCAGGTATTCAATTTCTGATAACCTTTTGGTTTCCAAATTCCATTTATGCATCTCTTTGATTTTTTTTATTGTTTTGGCTCCCCAAATTCTTTTCAGGTTTGGCGAGCTGAACTAGTATTATCTGATTTTATATTGCATAAAGCATTATGTTCATCTCAGTTTCATGGAGTTATTGCGTTAGAACTTGGCGCCGGAACTGGTATGATGATAATCGATTAATCAGTTTTGCTTTATATTTTGCTCTTACTTTTTGCTATCAATTTATTTCTCTAAACAAAATTATAAAACCTGAAAACTATGACTCGGGCCTAGCCAATAATTAAATAAGCTCAGTAAGCTTGTAATATGGTCAATTGAAAGACTGATGGTTAAATGAAATATGCGTATGGATTCTTCAATCTTCATTTCTGATTTGAAATTAATTAACCCATTGATGATATAGATAATTCAGCTGCACACAAACACATTTAGTGAGAGATGTAGTTTAAAAATAAAAATAAAATATTGTTGTTATTGATACAAAAGCAAATAATCAATAAACAACATTTTCTTTAATGGCTGATTGTTTAATAAAACATTTTGAGGCACTCCTAGAGATTAGTTTGATGACCCATGTAACATCCCAAGGGCTGGAAAAGGCAAGGAGTAATCGCCGGTGCAAAAGAGACACGAAGAATTAGCGGCTCATGCCAAATCTTGCAGCTGGGGGTACATGAATGAATCAAATCAACACCCAAAAGAGAGGGATTCCAGAAACTATACTGATATGGGACGGTACAGTCGGGGATAGTTTATAAGAATTAACTAGTGCTACTTATACTAACAAGATCTACTTTTCGGTAGCTCGGAACGAAAGAACTCCATAGTTAAGCGTGCTTGACTTGGAGCAATTCTGGAATGTGTGATCTCTTGAGAAGTTTTCTCAGAAAGTGTGTGAGTGAGGACAAAGTACTTAATTTGTGGGGACATCATTTATCCTTGCAAGTTGCTGGGCATTACAACCTATGCTGAGAAGTTATCAAAGCTGTCAATTTGAAAGACCTCATGTTATTTATACAGAAATGTTTTAGATAATTTTCATTATTTCAAATTTTAACTCTTTTACCAGGATTGGTGGGTTTATTACTTGCGCGTACTGCAAATACAGTGTTCCTAACAGGTATAGTGCCTTCTTTTATTTGAGTGCCACTCTTCCCAACTCCTGTGTATCATCGGGGTGGAAATTTATATTCTCATATACCTTACAAATGGGAATTATATGGCATAATTGTAGAGAATTACCTGGACCAGTATGGTCAGTTGATATATTTAATTGGTCAATGTTTTCCAAGTATGATGTTCATTTATAGTAGTTGATTATTTTCTGAGGAACTTGTTTAACTTTGTTAATTTCTTATTCTCTTAAATTTAATGATTTTAGTGGAAGGACAAAGCTTATTATTCTTTTTCAGATCATGGGAATGAAATACTTGACAACTGTGCCAAGAACGTTCAGCTTAATTTTGGACTATTGAATTATCAAGCCACAATTTTTGTACGTGAACTTGATTGGTTCAATTGCTGGCCTCCAAAAGCAGGAATAGGAGAGACTCCTTGTACGCCAAGGTAAAGTTTATTATTTTGATGACTAGGCTGCAAGAAATTATTGCTTCTTTCTGTTTCTTTTGGGGGTTGAGTCTTTAACTTCCGACAGGGATGCTGGTGTATGTCTTTTGCAACCTTTTTCCTTTGGATGAAAATTTGTTGGGATGAAAATAACTACTTTATACTTTTCAGTTAATTAAATATCAGGTGCACTTCACAATCACTTTATGGCATCATTCAGGTATTCTTGGACTTTAAGAGAGATTGAAGAGGCCGAGAATGCTTCTTTGCTGGTGGCTGCTGATGTTATTTATGATAATAACCTGACTGATGCATTTTTCAGTACCTTAGAGAGATTAATGTCAAGGGGTTCAACAAAGGTACATGTTAATGGGGTGTTATAGCCTTATTGCGATTTGCAAATGCTGTATGACCATCTGTTTTTGAGTTTCGTTTTTGAGTTTAAAACATCCCACATATTGAGGGCTTTAAAAATAAGAATGGCAGGGGGAGGAGATTGTTCCATCAACAATATGTACTCTGGTGGGTATGGACTATGGAGTATAGGCAGGAATTTCGTAGGCATGGTCTGTTTTGAGCTTCTTCATTGCAATCACTTGTTCAATAGTAGTAACTTGACGTTGTCCATCTGTTTCTAGGTGTTATACATGGCACTGGAAAAGCGCTACAATTTCAGTCTTTCTGACCTTGATGTTGTTGCAAATGGATATTCGCATTTTCGAAGCTATCTTAAGGATGAAGACGGTAAGCACATAGGAAAATTGTACTCTTGGTATGTATTATTTTCTTATGGAATGCTTGATGTATATAATTTATTGCAGAAATCGAAAGCCTTGAGTCTGTAACCAGGCCTAATTTTTTGGGGAAGCTGATGGACCTCTCTCAAATTCCACAGTATGTTAGAGAGTATGAAAGAGGAAATGATGTTGAGATTTGGCAGATCAAGTACTGTGGTCCAAAACATGAAGCCTCAGTTACTCGGGGATAAAATTTTGAAGTTGAATTCTAATACCAATGTTTTTTAGTGAAGTGTACTAGTGTAGTATTGTTATTATTATTAGATTTAAAAGTAAGAGAATTTATGTGATTTTTTTTTATAATGATATTATTATAAGTAATATAGTCTCTCCAATAAACTTTTTTCCCCCGCGAAAGTATCCCGTCCATTTAGATTAACTGCATATATATCGGAAAGCGTGGGAATGAACGAGTTGGCTTAGTACAGGTCACTTATTTGTTAGGCTTGGATTTTTCAAGCCTATCTAATTCAATAAGTTAACGTTTGTGTCTTAAAAAGAATAAAAATACTTGGCCTATTAGGATGGTTTATTTATTTATTTAAATATAAATATATAATTTTTTGTATTTTATTATGTGTGATAGGTTATTTGTAAGAATAAAAAGTCTTACTATTTTTAGTTATTGATTGGATCCAGTTGTATCTAATAGTAATTAAAAATTAAAGCTGTTAGATATTAGTGAGATCAATAACATAGATTAAATGTAATTTATATTGATGTAAGAGAATCATGACCTTTGCTAAATAATATATCAATATATCTATTTTTTTGGTGGGATATATTTATTTTATAGAGTATATAATAGTTTTATGGGGAAGGATATACTTACTTTAAGTATTATACTTATTTTAAAATTAAAAAGTCTATTTTTTTCGTATTTAAAGGCTTTAATGAAATTAAAGTTTGTAAATAATTTTTTAGACTTTTATATTATCATAAAAAAAGGTTTATGTTAAATTCAATCTTACAAAACAAGTTTAAACTTAGGAGTTTGCATTCTTCATGCAACATGACCACAAAAGTTTCCTACATACATAACATTTTGTGGGGCCAGCATTTTTTGAAATAAAAAAAAAAACTACGACACGGAAAACGAATTTCTATAACATAACACAATCATTTTTCATAAAACATAACTCTTATAAAACCCTTAAACTTATATAGAGAAAGCTTCATCTAACTTAATTTAGCTTATATTTATCCATATATGACAAAAAAAAACTTCAATTTAAATTCTACAAGAAAATTGGATATAAGCCTTGGAATAATATGATTATTAGCATTTAAACTTGAAAAAAAAATTAAAAAATTTAACAATTCAGGACGAAGAAAAAGAGAATTTACTTATGAACTTCACCATCCCACATGTGACAGCATTGGACAAATTCTAAAAGAGCCTCAACTCAATCGTTTTTTCGGAGGAGAAGTTGCTTTAACTGGGCTAGCACTTGTTCGATAATGATTGGGCCTGTCGTGGGTTCTAATTTATTGCACCGTGTTGGATTCTATTGGAGTGAGTCAGTGTCTCAGTCCCAGTTATTCCCAGTCCCAAGCATCCCTTTCAAATACTACGAAGTTATGATTTATGAATAGTTCTGCAAGGACTACGCGGCGGTTAAGCTTCATTTCTTTGGGATTTTGGTCTTTGTCAGTCAAATCCACGAAGAGAGAGAACTGTTCTGATTTATGCTGCAAAGTATCTCGAGAAAAAGGAATAAAAAAAGCACCTAAAATTTCGCCGTATTTATGTTGTTCTAATACTAACAACTATGCTAGGAGTATTATTATAATGATCCTAACAATTGTGACTTGCATTTGCTGATGCAAGTTAACGACTGCAATCCAAAAAATTAGCCTTGGAATTATGGTTGATGGCATTGCGGACTGCGACAAATGACGGACTATGACGGCCATGTTACAAAATTATATATAAGCTACAAGATTTACGTATTATATATATATATATATATATATATATATATATATATATATATATATGACTCTCAGATGAGGTGTCAAACTTCAAATTTAACACCAGTGTCAAAAGATCTACCTCATATATATATATATATATATATATATATATATATATATATATAATGTTAATGTAATGGGGGGGGGACAAAGAAAAGTACAAAAATATAACATAATTATTGTAATAATGTTTGTAGAGTAGAAAGAATAAAAAAGCAACAAAGGTTGCTTCAAATGAAGTGAAGATAAAGATAAATGGGTCGAAGTAGTCGAGTAGGTTACAAATGTGCGTGCCTTGCAAATTATAGGTAGGTTATAAAAAAAAAGTGAGTAGATTATGTGATTTAGAAGACAGTGGATGATATTAAATCACTAAGAAGGTTGAACCCATATAAAGAAGAGAAGAGAGTAATAATCAGAATTATCAAACACAGTGCAATAAGGAAATTAGAACAGACTTACAGGATATCAGATAATGGAACAGAGTGATCAATGTATGCAGAATAATGTAAAAAAGTTCGAACTCACAGAATATGTCTCCTTAAGGCAATTTGCCTCCTCACTGATGCTGAAGGTTGATGGACATTTGTCTCCCAAGATAGAACGGATTACGTCTGAAGAATGGTGGCACTACCAGTCAACAGCCCGAACGAAACAGAACAATATGCCAGAGGGATTACACCGGAGAATGGAAGGAAATATGCAAACCGGATAGAGGAAAAAATCCAGCAGAATAACAGTGCAGAAAATTTGGATAAAGTTTCTGAAGGGGTCAGGGTCTATTTATAGATACTGACCGGTCACAATTAATCGCCGGCAGCGGCGAAACGCTGTGACTGACGGCCGCGAACGAGTACGACCGGTGATCGGTTCGGTGAACAGGTACAACCGGTGACCGATTTGCAAAAGGTAAGAACTGGTCTGGTTCAAAACATTAAAAAAACCAGCGGGAAGAAACGTTTGGGTTGAAGAATCTGGAGGGAAGCAACGGATAGGCACAGGGGTATTTTGGATAAAAAAATAAAAAATTATTTAATAAAAAATTATTTTTATTTCACACACATGAACCGATCCGAAACGAGCTGAGCTGAGCCGGACGGACGGCGGCGGGTGCGCGTGCGGCGGACCAAAGGCCACCTAGCTCCACTCCCCTCCCCTCCACAAAATGTGTAGTACCTTAAGGGGCAATTTAGGAGTGTGAGGTGGGAGCTTATAAACTCGTTCACCTCCTACTAGTTGTCCTATGTGGGACTTCTTAAACCCACACACCCCTTCAACTTTCCTTTTCTTTTTTCTTCCTTAACTCACTTCTTATTCATCACCAATAGATTGTCTATACAAATTCCAACAATCCCCCACATGGATAAGAAGTCAATTCATCGTAACTAAAATGCATAAGAATATAAATGTAAAGTGTAATTTCCTCAACGAGAAACAACTAAATCGAGATAAGTAGAGTTATCTTTGAACCTTCTCTAGTGAAACCTATCAGATATACTCGGTCAATCGGTGGTCTGGGCGACTTGAACCGTCGACCTTTAGTGTTTGCCTAGACAATAGGAGTCACACAATTGCTTATCTAGCATTGTTGGTCCTTTGCTGTGCCCATTTTGGTCGTGGGACACCTGCCTGGTTCTGCGAGTATTTTAGAGAATCGGCCTTTGAAAAATTCTCATGGAAGCGGCCCTCACTTCACACTCACATAGGTGATTTCTTGTGATGTATCTCACTATACATTATCTGAACACAACATATTAAGAAATCATTAAAAGCCTAAATGCTTACCCTCATAAATACACTGTCTTGTCATAGGAATGAGTATGAGTTTATAAACTCCACAATGTTTTAACAGTTGAACATCACTTAGTTGTCTCTTTGAACCTAGTTCGTGGGATCTCTATTCATCAAGGTAGAGTTACCGCAATGATTAACAGTTGATAGGCCTTAATCTCATTCCTTTCGACAAATTGTCAATCAATTCTCTAGGAATCCCTTTGGTTAATTGATCCGCTATGTTCTCTTTAGGCTTAACATAGTCAATTGTAATGATTCCAATCGAGAATAGTTGTCTTACAGTATCATGTCTACGACATATATGTCTAGACTTACCGTTATACATGACGTTCTTGGCCCTTCCAATAGCTGCTTGGCTATCACAATGTATGCATACGTCTGGTACCAGTTTTGGCCAATTAGGAACATCCTGAATAAAATTACGAAGTCATTCGGCTTCTTCACCGGCTTTATCTAAAGCAATAAATTCTGCTTCCATGGTTGACCTTGCAATGCAAGTCTGTTTGGACGATTTCCTAGACATAGCACCCCCACCAAGGGTGAACACATATCTACTTGTGGATCTAGTGTCGTTAGAGCCGGCGATCCAATTTGCATCACAATACCCTTCTATAACTGTGGGGTATTTCTCGTAATGCAAAGCAAAATTTTGAGTGTACTTCAAGTATCCAAAAACTCTTACCATAGCTTTCCAATGATTTTCATTTGGATTACTAGTAAAGCGACTTAACAGACTTACTGCATAAGCAATATCAGGTCTGATACAGTTCATAACATACATAAGACTTCCTAACACTTGAGCATATAACTTTTGTGTTGTAGCTTTACTAGTGTTCTTTAATAAATTAAGATTAGAATCTATAGGGTTCTTCACAGAGGTTATATTCAAACTTTTGAATTTCTCAAGAATTTTAGCTATATAGTGAGCCTGTGATAAGGCCAACCCTACAGATGTTCTATGGATTTTAATGCCTAAGATAACGTCTGTTATCCCCATATCTTTCATATCGAATTTACTTTTAAGTAATTGTTTAGTAACCTTAATCATTTGATTATTGCTATCCATTATCAATATGTCGTCTACATAAAGACAGACAATGGCAAATCCTTTCTCAGTATTTCGAACATAGACACATTTGTCGCATTCATTAATTCGAAATCCATTTGATAACATAACTTTATCAAATTTCGCATGCCATTGTTTTGGAGCTTGTTTTAACCCGTAAAGGGATTTTACTAAGCGACAACTTTCTGTTCTTGTCCTAGAACAACGAAACCTTCAGGTTGTTCTAAATATATCTCTTCTTCTAGGTCACCATTTAAAAAGGCGGTCTTAACATTCATTTGATGTATTTCTAATCCATTTAATGCAGCTACCATGATCAACATCCTAATGGATATGATCCTTGTAACAGATGAATAAGTATCGAAATAGTCAAGACCTTCAAGATGCCTG